GGGATGGGGAAAGGGGAAAAACTGAACCAAACCAGAAAAAATGAACTCAGAGAAATGGAAAGAGAGAAGGTGCCATTGTCCCTTCTGTAGTTTTCCAAAGGCAGAGAGGAGCGAGGAAGAGCGCGACGCACAGACCCAGACGCCCGACTGAAATCCCCATCAATTTCTTCTCGGTAATTTCCCCCTCGTCTTTTCCCAGCGAGGGGCAGGAAGGACTTCCCAAAATTAAATTAAAAAAAAAAGGAATTAATAGGAAAAATGCCATTATTATTTTGTTTTAAAAGGATTAAAAAAAAAAAGAGAGAGAGATGAGAGAACAACCCTCCCCAAAATCCTGGAGGGGTGCGAGGTGGGGAAAAAATTGGGTTTGATTTAAAAGGGAAACGAAAAAAAAAAAAAAGACAAGCCAAACCAAACCAGACTTTCTCTCCGAACGCGTCATCGAACGGGACTCTCCGGAGAGTGTGACGGTTAACTGGTGACGTAGTGTTTCGCCGATGGCTGGCCGTAGACCCTATAGAAATCCTGCCGCCCGTGCTGCTGGGATGCGTCAATCCATTCCCTCACGGCAAGTCCCGGGAGTGACTGGGGAACGGTGGGGGCGGGAGGCAGCGGGTGGGAGTACTCCTGCGAGGAGACCGTCCAGGGGAAGTGCCCCGACCGCGGGTAGGGCTGGTGCCCGCTGTGGTTGGACACGGAGGAACAGTAACAGTTATCCACGGAGCAGACGAGGATTTTGCGCCCGCCGTACTGGGAGAGCACGGACTGCTGAGATGACGTGGTGTTGGGGTAGTGAGATGGGTTGAAGACGGAGCCCGAGTGCACCGGCTGCGGGCCGCTGGGAAGTCCAACTATGTGCTGCGTGGAGCTACAAGGCACCATGGCTTGTGCGGACTGCCCCTCGCCAGCCGAAGCGCCCTGGCTTATGTACTGGCTCGCCACAGTCCCGGACGATGGCTCGAGGAAGCTGCCCTCGGGGAAGGCGGTGGAGTGCTTGCGCTTCTCCGCGCCGGAGTTGCTGACGGTGCAGGGGTACATGGGGATGCTCTGCAGGAAGGGGACGGGGGTGCTCAGAGGACCTGCGGAGGGGAACAGGAGAGGGGGACTGAGTCAAGCACGGCACGGAACAGCTCCGGGGTGCTTCGGCCACTGGTCCGAACCCACAGCAAAGCCCCGAGATCCGTGCTCCAGCCCCACGTGAGTAAAGGGTCCCCCAGTCCGCCCCACCAGCAGCAAACTGGGCACACAGCCATACACAGGTGAATTTGCAGCCCCAAGCACTGCTCTGCAAACACATGCACAGGCTGAGCCCATGCACAGCTCAGGACCACTGTCCGTAACAGGCTCAGAGGAGGACAGCTTGGGTGACAAACCCAAATCCCACAAGGAGAGAGGACTGGGAAGCCTCTGCAGGATGTTCTCTGCTCCCAGGCGCGGGCTGGGGGCTGCAGCACCAGGCTGGCCCCTGGCTGGCCCTTCCCAGCCTTTTCCTCCTGATGCCCAGCCCCCCTGCTGCGACCCCAAAACACAGCCGTTTCAGAAGCCAAGGGAGATGTCCTGGGGAGAGCCAGGAGCTGGCTTCACGGTGTCTCCACGCCCCTGCTGACCGCGGAGGGGTTCCCAGGGGTCCCGGCACCCCAACAGCTCTCCCCACTCTCTTGTACTGGGATCTGTAGGGCACGCAGCTATGGATACAGGAGGTAGGGAGGTCCTGTGCCCCTCCTCGGCACCCCTCAGGCTTCACCCACCTTCCAGCAACTTCCTGAGCTGCTTCTCCTTCTTGGCAATCTCGTTCAGGAAGAGCTTGGAGTTGAGGTGGCCGATTTTGGGTGGGGGCAGGCTGCCACCTGTACAGTTCTGGGTCCTGTTGGGGACCGTGGGCAGAGAGAAGAGATGTGAGGGACAAAGCACACTCAGGGGAGGGTCAGGAAGCCCCCACGCTCCGTTCCGAGCACCCTCCCAGGGCCAAACCCCTTCCTCAGGAAGACAGCGCTGAGGGCAGAGGGGAGCCAGCCCTCTCCAATGGGTCAGTCCCTTCCCGGAACTACCTTCCCCATCCAGCCTTGCTGTGAATGTCCTGTGCCAACGCACACCGCCCACAGCCCTGTATCCCTCTGCATCACCACCCCAGCTCACCCTGGCTCTGCTAGCGCTGGCTTTAACCCTGAGCCCTGGATGGAGAAGGAGAGCACAGCCAGACTGAGCCCTGCGCCCAAACCCGGCTAGTCCCACCATGGCTGGGGTGCTGGGTACCAGCTCTGCTCTTCCACAAACACACCACTGTTTCCCTCAGACCAAGGGCAGGACTCAATTCAATGGCCACAGGAGGGATTTCTCATCCTCCCAGACAGAGAGGGAAACTGAGACACGGAACATGCCTCTCCCAGGCCCTGCAGCATCTCTAGCCCTGCTCCTCCTCTGGACATCATGCTGCTGCCGCCCACACAACAGTCCCCCTTCCCCCCCCGAACACATCTGCCCCACCGCACTTACCTGTCCATTAAGATTTTCACAGACTTGGTGTTCTAGGAGGGGAAGGAGAAGCTCTGGTCAGTAAGGACAGTCCCTGCCTCGGCAGCCACCTCCCCTTTCAGTGTCACCTTCTGTGACCTTCTGGCCCCCCAGGAGGGGACTGGCTGCCCCGGGGTGCCAAGCCCCCTCTCCCCTCAGCACGGGCTGCCCCAGCCCCATCTTCAGCTGTGGCATCTCCTCATTAGGGGCCGGCACCGAGCCTGCCCTGCTCCTCTTCACCTTCCTCCACTGCTGAGCCCTCTGGAGGCATCAGCTAGCTCTGCCAGTGTCCCCAGCCCACTCCCTGCCATGCTCCATGCCTCCCTGATGCTCCCCGTGCAACCAGACCTCCCTGCGGATCCCATCCCAGCCCCAGCACAGGCAGCTCATCTCACCTTCATGAAGTTGATGTCCTCAGTTTTGTCAAACATGACCTGGACAGAGCTGAGGAGCTTCTTGGCTTCCTGCATGCGCTCATTGAGGTGGAGAACCTGGGCCGCATTCTCATTGCAGAACTTGGCCTGGGCCTTGTCCAGGATCTCCATGGTCTTCCGCAAGTCCTCATCCAAGATCTGGTGCATCTTTTCATACTGCAGGCGCACCTCGTCCTTCAGCTGGCTCACCTTCTCCTGGGGGAAAGGAGCAAGGTCAGCCCCTCTGTGCCCTCCACCTTCCACTGTGATGCCCCAGGACACCTGGATGCTCCCCCCAGCAGGGGTGGGTGCGACCTGAGAGCTGCACCACAGCTCTGCTCTGCTGCCGATGCCCACACAGACCAAATCCTGCCGTCACTACCATGTGGGACTCCTACATGCCGGAGACCCAACAGAGCCACTGTGGAGGTTTTGCTAATTCAGCAGATTCCCTGGACGTACCCCCTGGGGTCTAGATGGAGATCGCCTCCAGAGAGCTAATACCAAGCAACAACCTGCTGCATCACTGAGGCAGGTATGCTCCCTTGAAAAACCCTGACCATCCCCATCCTCATGCTCGTTCCCATCTTCATCCTTGTGCTCATCCCCATCCTCATCCCCACCCCAGGCTGGGGTCACATCATGCTCCAGAGCCCTTCCCTCCACGTTCTGGGAGGCCGAGGGGCTTTAAGGACCATGAGCTGATCTTGTTTTACCTGCATCCCAGCAAAATACTAGCTTGCACCTCTTCGACCTCCTGGGTATTTCAGCGGTTTATTTGGGGATCTTCCACCTCCAAATCCTCCCCTCCCATGTGGGATGAAGTGGGTGGCCTGGGGAAGGCTGTGCTGAGCTGAGGGCAGGGTGGGCTGTCCGATAGTGAAGGACAGCTTTGTTCCTTGCCTCCCAACTCACCCCAGGACCCACAAGGCTGCAGGGGAGCCCCAAACACATTTAATCCCCCCAAAGGATGACTGCCAAGACTGGAATGGAGACAGCAGGTCTGTCCAGCCGCTCCTCCCCTGCATGTCCTCCCTCCTCCCTGCCCACCTGGCCCCTATGCCCCAGGAGCCTGGTTCCCATCACACCATGGGGTGACAGTCCCCAGGGCTGGCCGCAGCAGGGTGAAGAACCAGTTACCTCGACCAGCCGCTTGTCCGATTCCAGCTTATAGAGCTGCTCTTCGATGTCTTGCTCCCGCTCCTCCAGGCGGTCCTGCTGCTTCATCAGCATCTTCTGCAGAGACGTGAGAGAAAAGCAGCCGTCAGAGCCTGGCGGCCACACGCGCCGGCAAGCTTCAGTGCCGCCTGCACTGGCTCTGCCCACGCGGTTTGGGAGGGACAGGGCTTTTTCCCAGTGGGACGCCATTGCCGAGCTGAAAGCCCACACATGGCTGGTGGAGGTGGAAACCTCACTATTTCAATGGCCACGCAGAGGGGCCGGGTGGCTTGGGTGCCTTATTGGCTGGGGACTTTGATTTGGGTCCCCTGGATGGGGACAGCCCCTTGCCAAGCCCTGGGGGTGACATGGAGAGGCTCATCTCCCTCTGTGGCAGCACCACTTTGAGGCCCATCACCCACCGCCAGCAGGCTCCTGCGAGACATCCCCCCCCCCCTCGCGCCCCCGTACGCCACGCCAAATCCTTTCTCCCTTCCCCGCCTCCGTGACAAGCCCCAGAGCCAGCGTCAGCGTAATCAGGAGGGACAGACAGAGGAGGAACGGGGCCTCCCCCCACCACGCTGCCAGCCCCCGGCCCCCACTCCTTGGGGCTGGGCCTGGGCCATCAGCCTAATAACTGGGACAAAACCTTATCCCCAGCAATCAGCGCGAATGCCTCGCTCCTGCACACTTCCCCAACCAGGATGAAACCCAGCACCCATGAGAGAAGGGCTCCATCCCTGCGAGCAGGAGCAGGGCTTCCCAAAACACCCGTCAAAATCAACTCAAATTTTTTCCCCTCTACGGTTATCCCTGGGAAAAGCCAACATACCAGCAGGGCGAAGAGAAGGGCTTCGCCTGGCATGGAGACACGGCGTTAGAGACACTCAACAACAGGGGCGAGATGGGAAGAAATCAGCAGCGAGGATGAATTTCGAGGGGATTATTGCTATTATAAACCGCCGCTTGGGGATTTATAATCAAGTAATTAATTCCTGGACGAGGCAGGAGGGGGAGGGTGGCAGAGGCACTGCCGGGATTAATTGCATTGCAGGGAAAGGCTGTCACCTCCGACTCAATTCGGGAGCAG